CACCCTGTATATAAAATGCATCAGTGATATTTATTGACCGTATCTGGCAATTTTTATAATACAGAAAATTTATTGCGAAAAATATTACCTCAGCCAGGGTTTGAACCTGGATCTCCCTTCTCTCTATATAGGCGGGCGACTCAACCAATAAAAACCTCTGATGCTGTTAATTACTGCTGGCGACTTTTAAGAATATTCTTACTAGTTGTTTATTAAAATGTTTTATTACTTTTATTTGTTTATCCTAAAGTATAGAATTCACATAAACTTTTAAGGCTTTGTTTGCGCTTGTATTTATTATTATATTTACAAAAATCTAATAATAATACTAACGATAATGTTATAAAATTCATAGCTGCTAAAAGACCAAAAAGATCCTCAGAGGGTTTGATCACGTGGAAGGTAATTGAGACTAAGATGCCATGGAGTCTGATGTTTCTATTAGGTGGCGGTTTCGCGATCTCAAAAGGAAGTGTTGCGTCCTGTATGGCAAAACGAGTCGGTGAAGCTCTAGTACCGCTTCGTTATTTACCACCCATTTTAATACTTGTCGTAGTATGTTTTTTCGAAGGCCTATTAACGGAATTTACTTCAAATGTTGGTGTGGCGAATATTACTCTACCAGTAATAGCACAGATGGTAAATTATATTTATATGCAGGACTTTCTTCTTTATTTCATCTTTACATCATTTATTATAGATATATTTTCTGATATATATCTATATATATAATATAACTTATACTTTAATATCTGGTTGTGCAGTATAATTTTGTTAAATTATTGCAAAAAATAGCTAATTAATGTTTATTTGTCTTTCAGTGCGTGGCAATGGAGATACATCCTATGTACTTGATGATACCAGCTACACTGATGTGTTCGTTTTCGTTCCGGTTACCGGTTGGGACACCACCAAATGCGATTATAACGATTGCAGGACATATCCCAACCAGTTGGTTGATCGCTGGAGGCTGCGTACCTGCAGTTTACAGTTTGATAGTGGAAGTTATTTTCTTCCCGACATGGGGTGTTTTAGCTTATGGAATTAAAGATTTTCCTGCTTGGGCCAGACATGTTCAAATAGAGAACAACACAGGCGTGACCTGTTAATTAAATGAAAACAATAATTTAAGTTACAGAGCAGATTAAATTCTAGTTTTACTTATTCTGACTTTCTGTAAGATTTAACTTACTAATATATAATACATTGAATAAAAAAATTGATACTTTAAGTATTTGATTATACTATAGTTTATAAAATAACATATATGCTATTTTTGTAACTTTTCTTCTATATTATGTTATGTTATATCGAGAGAGTATATTAATGTATTGTAATTTACAGACTAATATACAGGGTGAGTAAAAAGTACCCGACCGGTAAAATATGGAAAAGTATGGAAGATACGGGAAAGTCTTTCAGACAAAAGTTGTACGGTTTTAA